CAGTTCATGGCCGTCTTCTGCACGATGTTGTGGGACTTCAGGAACAGGTTGTTCACCTGGCTGTCCAAGTCCACAGGGATGGCAATCGCTCTGCTTTTGGCTGCAACAAGCAAAATCAGTGTGAAATGAGACCCTGAGCCCGTGAACCGGCACAAAACAGGACCAAGGTCTATGCAGCCCTTCCTTCTACAAACTCTCCTTCCCAGGCTGAGAGGAAACAGCCTGAGGTTGCACCAGGGAAGGTTTAGATCAGACACTGGGACATTAGGATTTTTTTCTCCCCACAGAAAGGTTGTAAAGCATTAAAAAGGGCTGCCCAGAGAGGTGGCAAAAAATATTAGTATGTGACACTTGAGTTCATGTTTTATTGGTGATCACAGTGGGCTGGCAGCTGGACTTGACCACCTTAAGAGATCTTTTCTAACCTTAACCATTCCATTGCTCTTTGAGTGCAATTTAAACAGGGCAGGGTCAGGCCTGGGCAGGATTATGTTTAGAGGTTTCCACACCTCAGAGCTGTTACTGTTGTTTGAGGTGTGGGAGGAGGAATCCTTCCCTAAACACACACAGCCCCAACAGCTCGTGCTGGCACACGTGGACACACAGCAGGAGAACCTGACTCCACATCCAGTACAAGCTGCTCTTGTGCACACAAAGTGGAGCAAATTTATGGGCAGGAGTGGCACTCCCAGCTGCACCAGGGAAGGGTCAGGCTGGACAGCAGGAGGAATTCCTCCATGGAAAGGGTGCTCAGGCTTTGGAACTGCCCAGGGAGGTTTGGAGTGCCCACCCCTGGAGGTGTCCAAGGAAGGGTTGGAGGTGGCACTCAGGGACAAGATGGGCATCGGGCACAGCTGGGATCCTGGAGGGCTTTCTGAACCTCGGTGCTTCCATGAACACCATCTCCCTGCTGCAGATCAACAGGCCTGCAGGGAGCTTTGAGGTTAGGCAGAGAAAGCACTTCAGGTGACAGTGACAACACCCACTGCTCAACCACCATGATCCATCAGCACAAGCCTGGGCTGTGAGTTACCCCAGGTGGCACCTGCAGGACACAACCCACACTGTCCCTGTGGCAGCATGGCACAGCAGCCAGGCTGGATGGCTGCAGCCTGGGGCAGGCACCGTGCTCACCCCGCTCCTTACCTACGTCGGAGAGCACGCGGATGCAGCTCTCCACAGAGGCCTTCTGGCTGGGCATGAGCCAGGTGCAGTGGTAGACCCTGAACACGCCCTGCAGCAGCTGCACGAACACGGGCTGCCGGGTCTGCAAGGCAAGCACAGCACGGTCACAGCCTCACCCAGCACGCTCGCTGCTCCCAGCCCAGCTGGCTCTCCAGCCCCTCCAGCTGGGCTGCAGCGCTGTTGGGCAGCTCCCCGTGGTGGCAGGGTATCTACCTCGGCATCAGCAGCTGCATGGGAAGGGTGGGAACCAGTGCTGGAAGGGAAAATGAAACAGGAGCTTGAGCAGCAGAAAGCCCTGGTAATTGAGGCCTGACTAAGCAAAGGAAGTGAGCAGTCACCTTCATCTGTGTTATCAGGGCTATCAGCAACCCTGGCACACAGATTCCTCTTTTAGTGTTGACCAGCAGCTGACTCAAGAGGCCACAGGTAAATGGGGCTTGGCTATGTGACAGCAGAGCTCCAGAGCTGGAAACTCATCATTGCAGGCATTATTAGCTGGGATCCAATTCACTGAGAAAGCAGCTGTGTGTTATTTGGAACACAGGCAGTGGTGAGTGGCAAACACTGCAGCTGCTGCAGGATCAGCCAAAATCAAGGTGTGGTTTTCACCCCTGAATTTCACAAGGTGATCTCCCACTACAGACAGGTGAGCTGCTCCAACACACCCAAGCCCATGAGCTCTGTTCTTTCACCTTTGCAGCTGCCCAACAACAGTGACCAAAACTCCATTTGGTTTTGTACAGTGATTATTTAGTAGAACAACATATTACAACCTGTAGAGGAAAGAGGATTTTAAACATTTCAATCTGAGAGGGAACACCCTGTGTCCCTGTGCCCACTAGCTATGGAATGCTTCTACCAGCTACAGGAACTACACCACAGTGCAAACACCACAGGACTTAGGAACCAGGGAAAAAATACCTCATTTATTGTGGCCAACAGTAAAGCCTGTTTGCGAGAAAAAAGTGGAGTTAGAGTAAAAAGCCAAATCTATTAGCTAATTAAATCTGTTAGATCAATTAAATAAAACACCATTACAAAATGTACAAGGGGAGAACCAAAATTTAAGCCCCCAAAATTGCCAAGAGGCAAATACCCATTATCCTTTCTGGAAATAATCCAAACACCAAAAACCATGGCAAACAACAGCATCTACCCAGGGCCCTGAAAATACCTGCATGTTTGGATTTAAACCACCCACATATTCCTTTCAGTTCACATCTGAAGACTTTTTTGGTCTCAAAAACCCTTTAAGATGTTTCATTTGCCTAAACAATGTCAATAAATCAAATAGGAAATTTACTCCATGTCCCTCATGTCTCCAGCTGCACTTGGGAAGGGAAACCTTGGGCAGCAACAACTTTGGAGGCAAACAGGCTGAACAATGTTTGCTAAGAGAAGCTGTGGGCAGCTGTCCTGTGCCAAAAGATTTGTGTTCTCCTAATTTTATGAAATTTGAACCACATGATGGATGGACAAGGTGTTCCCTGAACTGGCAAGGCTGACTCAGGGCAGGAAGGATTTCAGTCAGACAAGCCCTGACATGAAGGAGCAGGAGGCAAGAGGAGGCTGGCTGGGATGAGGAGGAGCAGCAGGAAGGGCAGGGAGGGACCGAACCCAGGGCAGAGTGCCACAACCCTTCCCTGCAGAGATCAGCCCACCTGCAGCACCTGAGAGGGGAGAAACCCCACCTGGAGCAGGGATGGACCCCAGGCAGGTGGCACAACAGGCTGTGCTCCTCAGGGGGAGAACCCCTGGGTACAGACAGGAGTACTGACAGGCAGGAAAAGGGAGAGAAACCACTTCTAACTTGGAGATGAGGAGGAAAGATGAATCTAGGACAAGGCAGATCTATCAACTGAGATGGGAAAAGAGGTGAACCAAGTGACTTCATCTTGCTAGACAGAGGGGGAGATTGAGAAACTAAAGAAAAACTGCTGATATAACATTAACAGATGGCTAAAATAGGATGGCAAGATGTGTATTCAAATGCTGCATCTCAGAGATGACAAGTGAGAGCAGGGCAGCTCAGGTACATGGCACAGAGGGAGGGCAGAGCCCAGGACAAGGCCACAGCCTCCATGTCTCACTTCTCTGAGGAGCACAGAAGGTGCAATAGCAACCAAAGTCACCTGAGGAGCAAATCAGCTGCTGCACTGCTCCCTCAGCTGAGGCCAGAGACAGGCAGGGGTAGGGTGGATGAGCTGTGAGACCTGGAGATTGCACTGCCAACACCTGCCCTTGGCACCAGCAGATGCATCAAGTTTCAACAACTGCCCCTCTCAACCTCCTGCCAGAGCTGCCAGACACCTGACCACTCCACCCACACCTCCCAGAGAGTTATTTATGCATAAAGAACAGGGTTATCTCTGTGCAAACAGAAATATTAGGGCAACATCCTGATTCTGCTGCTCTGTACAACTCTCTGCCTTCTCATCTTCACAGGTGTTCCAAGCACCTCCTTCACATTTCCCCAACTTCTGAACTAGGCAAAAATCTACTCGGTGAGACAAATGAGAGCTTCTGGATTCTTGTTCTGGATCCTTTTTTTAAAGGGAAATTAGAATCTTTCTGTAAAATATGGTGTCCTGAATCAATCACCCATGCTCCCTCTGTGATATCTGTGGCAGGGGGTGGATGAGATGGGCTTCAAGGTCCCTTCCAACACAAACCATTCTGGCATTCAATGGCACACAGGAACTCTCAACAAAAGACCTTGGTGGCAGCACAGAGTCAAATGCACTCATGAATTAGTGTGACATTTGAGCTCCTCTAGAAGAACATTTGTACAGTGACCTACATGTTTTTCCATTTCTACAGCAAAAAGACCAGCGTGGTCACCAAGAGCTGAGATGTATCTGCACCCCAGTTACACCAGCACTGCTCCCCTGTGTTTCCTGTCAAAGGGGAATGAACACCAGTGCCCTGGCAGTGCTCTCCCTGCAGTGTGTGTGCATTTCCCACCTGCAGGGTGGTGCTCTGGTCCGAGAAGGGGGAGCTGAAGAAGGTGGTGACGATGCTCATGACGATCTCGGTCACGTACTTCTCCAGGATGGAGTCTGCGTGCTTCCTGTCGCTGGTGTTGTTGCAGGCCTGCAGCAAAAGCACAGCACGGTCAGGGGCAGCTCACCAGGGCAGCACAGACTGGAATTCCTCATTTCACACTGTCCTGGTCCCACCATGCAGCGACACTGGGGCTCTGCATCTCCAGCCCACGCCAGAGCTGCTCCTGGTTTGGTGTGCTGGCCCAGAGCACGGCTGGGGGAGGGAAAAAACCACAGAGTCTTGGAGGAAGGCAAGAGCAGGATGGGGAGCACTGAGGTGTAATGCTTTCGTATGGGGAAATACTTGGAATCCCAGGCAAAAAGCCATATGGCCAAATAAACACCAAGCCTGGAAAACAATCTGTCCTGACCTGCCAAAAAACGCTGAGTGCTGCTCAGGAAGGAGCTCAGAGATGCTGCCAGAATAAGCAGACCAGGTGGCAGGACAGAAAAGGCACTGGACAAAGGAGCAGGGTGTGGAGCTTCGCTGAGCTTTGGTTTGGGCTTGGATTTTTTCTTTTAAAAAGGAAAATATGAATGTGTTCCACGGAATATGACTAATGAAATCCACAGGCACAAGGAAAAGGAGGCACATATTTGCAGGAACAGAGTATTCAGGGTACTTCTTGCCTTGATGCACTGGGATGTCTTATCCTTACTGCTCTGGATTAAAGAGGTTTTAAAGCTGAATTCAGTTCCTTGGTGCAGATACATTACCCGACAGATGTCCACCAGGAAGTTCTCAAACAGCTTCCACATGTGATTACTGGTGTAAATCTCTTTCATTTCTACTTCTGTGTCCACATAGCAGTGATTCAAGAAGTTGATGTATGCTATTTTGACCTAAAAGTAGAGAAAACAATTCAGAAAGAATAAGAACCTCAACAGTGGTATGAATGAATATAATGTCACACTAAAATTGCTACACAGATAATTTGGAATTCTGCTTCTTCCTTTCACTTAAACACTGGTGAAATTTAATGCCATGAATAGCAAGACACCATCCAATAAAAAACCCCCAGGATTACTGCAGACAAAACGTCAGCATAATAATAATTTCCAGTTCTGCAGAACCATCTGTTCAAGGTTAGCAGCACATCCATAAACCTCTCTGCCTCAAGAACCCTATAAAATAACCAAGTACAGCATCACATTGCCACTTTCGGGGTAAGGAGGAAGCATAAAAGGATTTAACTGGACTCTCCAGGCTGGCTGGGGGTGCCAACAGCAGCAGCAGGGAAGGGCTGCAGTCCCCAGCTCTCTGCCCACCTGCACCAACCCCCTTGGGCCGGGCCAGAGCTGGCAGGATCAACCCTCTGTCACCCAAACCCAGCACATTGCTAACACACACAGCTCATTACAAGCCCTCACCTCAGGAATGCAATCCTCGTGGGTCACCACCCTGACAATGTCATCCAGAGGGAGGAGGGAGTTGCACTTGATCTCTGTGTAGACGTTTTTGCCCTCAGTGCACACAGCCAGCAGCTCCACCAGGTGGATGTGGTACATCAGGGGGCTGTTCTCATCCATCCGGTCCCTCTCTGACCTCATCATCTGCACCAGGGTCTGGAAGGAGGCTCTGTCGTTGTAGAACACCAGCACATCCTCCCCTGCATTCACCAGCTGTGGGCCAAGGACAGCATTGCATCAGCAGAGCCAAGCCTGGCGTCCCCCACAGCATCCCCTCATCTCATGGGGCTGTCCCACTGCTGCTGCCCAGCCCCTCAGGGACACAGGGCTCCAGGAGGGCATTTCCCATTATCTGACCCCTCCTGAACCACTCAGGAAATTCAAAGCCAGCCCAGCTAGCCAGAAGCTGTGCCAAGAAGTTTGTGACTTTCCATTGTGCCTTCCCATGTCGCCCCAGGTGACTTCCTAAGGCAGCTGTGGACAGCCCTGTGCTGCTGGAAAGCTGCCAGGGATGGCAGCACTGCAGGGCTCACTCCTTCCACCCTCCCAACCAACACCAGCCATTTGCCAAGGCCAGTAACACGTCAAGTCACACACTGGAGATTTCCATCAGCCTCACATTTGACACCTGGCTGGCCATGATTTCGGAGCAGCTCAGACCTCCTGGAACTCCAGGAAGAGAAGGAGATAAAGCAAACTGAGCCCTGGTCCACTGCTGAGCACACAGCTGGAGGGATGCAGGGCTGTTTAACCCACAGGGTTTGTGAAAAACAGCAGGGTAAGATGTAAAAAAAAACCCTCAGGGCAGCTGCTGACCTTGGGGGAGCCCCTTGCTGAGCATCCCACACCCAACTAAGTGTTAAGAAGCTAATGAAGCTGGTTTTGAGCTGGACAACAAAATATGAAAGATTTTTGATCCACCCATCAGGATTGATGCTCAAGAGCCAGATTGGACAAATCTGATCCTGGGGCTCCCCCTGCTGAGGAGGCCAAAACATTCCATCAGATGTGCAGATCTACCAAACAAATCCCATCCAACAGCCCTGTGAAAGGCTTTCATCCACCCTTCTCTCTCCCTTTTAGCCTGGCTCCCCAGTTTCCAGTTACCCACACACCTAAAGCTGATCCTCATCTGCTTCCCCTTCACACCTGAACAGCTGAGTAAGCACATCTTGCTAAGAGAATCTGCAAGGGCTTGGGGAGGCAGGACAAAGGGGGATGGTTTTGGCTTGAGAGCAGGTTTAGATGGCAGAAAAATATGGGTGGTGAGGGCCTGGCACAGTTGCCCACAGAAGCCAGGAAGTGGGCAGAGCTGGTTCCCATTCCTGGAAGTGCCCAAGGCCAGATTGGATGGGGCTTGAAGCACCCTGGGACAGTGGAAGGTGATTCTATGGTGGCTCTAAAATTTCATAAAAAAACCTCTCATCAAAATGCTATCATGGTGAAATCCTCCTTCTGCTTTAGTTATCTTGAAATTAAACTACTTCTCTTCAAGCCAATTTTGCTAGACAAAGGCACCCTTGCTTCATAACCCCACCTACATGCTGCTGGGTACAGGCCTGGGAAGAAACTCGTGCCATTAACAACCAACCCCTCGTTACACCTGTGAGTCAGGAGCTCAGCTTTTGGTCACAAAAAGCCTGAGCTTCCTGAGAGCTGTAATGCTCTTTTTGCATGGTGAGAGCTGTCAGCTTCTTGGCAATCCCCGAAGCGAGAGGATCAATTTGTCATGTTCACCAACTGCTATGTGCAAACTTCTGTTCAGACCCTGCAAATCTCTGCAGCTCTTACCTCAGCCATTACCATATCTTGGCATTTCTTAATGAATTTCCCCTCTGCCTTGACGATGGTCTGCAGGAACTTGATGTACTGAACGTTCCTGCCGTGCGTCTCGATGCAGTGGACGAAGTGCTGAACCACGCGCTCGTTGATCTCGCTGCAGAGCTGGAAGTTGTTCATGAAAATGTGCTGCATTGTCACTGCTTCCAGGATCTGATGGAGGGGATGAAAGGGAGCAAAAGGTCAGAGAATCAACGACATCCCCACTGGGGTTAGGATAAACCCAACACTCCAAGGTTCCCTTCAGTCCTGCAAGCACAGGGCTGAAGGGAACTTTACTGAGGACCTCAGCTTTCAACACCACTGCTCCTATCTCAGCCTATTTTTCACTCCACTTCAGCCTCTTGAACTTTCTACACTGAAACTGCCCTAAACAAACATCTTGCCAACTTTTGAGGCTTTGGAATGAAAACAGAATGTGACCTCTTCAACCAATCTTGCAACAGAACAGCCCCAGAGGTATCACCAAGGACAGTGCAGTCCCTTCTATTGCTAGAACATAAAAATAAATCACGGCCTGAGGTTATTCTTACCCCTGGGTTAAGGAACAGGTTTATGTGCTTGTGCAGCAAGGCCTGGTTCTGTTGGTTCCCAGCACAGAAGTTCTGCAGGAACTCGTGTGCAAGCTTCATTATCTCCTGCATCCTCGTGTCTTCAGCCTGGGATTGCATGACAAAGAAGAGGGGGTTAAAAAGAACCCAAAGGTTCACCTTGAGGTGAGCACAGGATGAGCCTCAGCTCCAGCAAGGGAACTGTCACGTCTCTCACACCCCGAAGGAAAACAAACCTCCACCCAGTTCACAGACGTTTGGGATGAGCTGGGCCAGCTCCACGCTTCCAAAGAGCGTCAAAAATAAAGCCCATAATAGAAATTACAGTAGTTTATTCTCTAAAAGTGCCTATTCCACAGCCAGGCCTGCCAGCAACGTGCTTTAGTCACTTCTGCTCTTCTGAACACCCCAGCCCCTTGGCCAAACCACACATCATCACCTCGGGCTGCCCAGGAGAGCTGCCACGTCCCGCTGCAGCCCTGCCGCAGCCACAGAGGGGAACTCATGGCAAAGCAGCCATGGAAAGTTGCTTTTGCACCAGCCCAGCCCAATTCATCTTTACTGGAACCTCCTTGCAGCCTTCCAAGCACTGCTGAGGAACCAGTGCCCTTCCCCTGACGTCAGCCTGGATTCCCAGCCCACCGACGGCAGGAGCCGCGCTTTGGAAAATTACTGCCTGCTTTTATTTTTAAGGAATTTCGTATCTTCCCAAGGGTGAAAACCCCTTCCACACTGCCTGTCTGATAAACGTTCACATGTATGGGACAGAAAGGTGATGAGAAGGCGTTGAAAGGTGTTTTTGCTGCTGCTTTTTTAGCAAAATATGACGCAAGAAACCACGAGAATTAACATTAATCAAAGCTCCTGTGTGGAATTACTGGTTCTCAGAAACCTGATGAGTTTGAAAGAGGACAGCAGAGTGACCAGGAAAATGTGAAGAACTGCCTCGCCTCAGTACTGATAAATACCTGTCAGCTGTGATTAATGAGCAGCCAACGTGGTGACCTTGGGGTGTGCTGTGTCAGCACAGCCTGGTGCTCACAGGCACAACCCAGCCCCAGTGGGCTCCAGCCTGCGCAGCTGCCAAGTGCTAGCCCTGATAAGGCTAATTAGGAGAATTAGCCTCACCTGGAGAGCCAGTGGCTATGTATTCACCTCTAAGGGGGAATTGAGGACTCTACAGCTGGGGGAGGGTCTGTATACACTGCTCATAAAACCCTGGGGAATGAGATACCCTCCCTTCCCTCCTTGTCCCCAGGATGGTGCTCTCACAGCTGCCTCACAATGAGGGTCTTGCTTCCATCAACACAGCACCTGCCTCACATGAGCCTTAATTCTGAAGTATGATTTGTGAATATTTCTTCAGGCAATCTGTATATTCAAAGGCTTCAAATAAACAGAATTTGTCTGAGCTCCTTATTTCTGAGAGTGGGTATTCTGTAGACTATGAGGCTACATAAACCAGCCTCTGTGCATCCAATCCACAGGGAGGAGGTTCAGGAAGATTCCCAGAAGGTATGAAAAGCCTGTCAGCATGACACAAAGCCCCACCTTCTCGTAAGGGATCTGCAGCAGCTCCAGCACCACGGCGTGAGCGCCCATGTTCCTCAGGAGTCGCTGCTGCTGCTTCCTGCTCTTCCTCACCGAGGCCCCCTCCTGCACGCAGAGCTTGCTGAGCCGCAGCAGGATCTGCAGGAGACACTGGCCTCAGAGCCCCGCTCTGGCTCTCCCTCCAGAGAACGCCAGGTCCCAGAGAGCAGCACCAGGGACCAACTCATCTGCAGGAGCAGAGCGGCTCCAGGCAGCCCCTCGCAGCCCAGGCTCCATCCGTGGCATCTGACTAGGGCTGCTGGACTTGGATGATCCTTGTGGGTCCCTTCCACCTCAGGACACTCTAAATTCTGAGATTCTACGCTCCTGCAGGACTCGGCCATGTCAAGTGAACACAACACCAAGCTCCACAGCAGAGCCACAGACACACCTTCAGCTCACACCACACCAGCACCACAGCACGTTCTTCATCTGGTACTTTCTACATTAAATATCAACAGCACAGTGGCTTTGAGTGCAAGGTACTCAGGACAGGGAGAATTCAATGGCTTCTCCCCTTGCTTACTGCCTTTGTAGTCCTTAACAATAAAAATATTGTGTTACCATTGAAACAGCAGCAAACGTCACGTTTCTCACTAATCCATTCTTAGGGAAAGAATACACACGTCGTGCTTATTCTATCCTGGCTTCCCATTCAAGTTGGGATTTGTTATTACTCAGCAAATAGTTTCCACAATGGCACAGTGACTCAGACTTTCCTGGGTGCCTCCCTCTGACTGCAGCTCTCCAGAGCTCTGTTACTCATTTACACTTCCAGTGAACTATCAAGAAGCAAAGTTTTACCTCTTTTACTACCCGGTAGTTGTAGCTGCTAGTACTTTCAGGCTTTTGAGACTTGCTGTGACCTTCCTGAGGATAAAATCAGACAATTTATTAGTAGCTTATACTACTGTCTACATGAAGGCTAAAATTACCGTTCTAGGATAGCGCCCGCTCTCCTCCTGGGAAGGACTGTCATCCTCCAGCTCTGACAGCCTCAGAAAAACACATACAATTATCCTGTCAAGTCACATTGACCTCTAGGACACAAAACAAGGTGAGGGAGGGATGATTTCAGAGGCAGCAACCTCCCGTCCTTTGCCTGTCACATTCTGTCTCTGATCAAGTCTCCCCTCAGAAAAAACCCCTTCCTTTCTCTCTCTATTGTTATTAAACTGTCACTGCACAAATACCAAGAGATTCCTCACAGCAATGTGTACAAAAAAAAGCAACAAGTGGATTACTTGTATTTACTTCCAGCAATAAATGTTCCTAAACCAGGGACTGCTTCTTGCATCCCCTCATCCAGTCTTTCCTGATTGCAATTACATGGAAACAAGATACTCAAAGAGCTCTAAGCCAGATGTGCACGTGGGGAAAATCCTTTGTTATCAGGTAGAGATAAAGCACAGTTCTCTGCTGTCACCTGAGCAGCTCACAGCTCTGCCCTTACCTTACTTGAGGTACTTTTGATTGCACAAATCCCGTGCCACTGGTCAGTGCTGAAAGGGGAGCCAGAGCAAACCCAAACCAGCCCTGTCACACCCTAAAGGTGACACCTCAGGGCTGCTACTGGGCATCACCTGGCTCAAGTTCTGCTCTCATTCCTGCCTCAACCTGAAAGCAGTAGAGAGAACCTCACCTAGGCAGTGTGCTGGGAAGAAGGGCCTTGTCACAGTTCTGACAGCAGCTACACCCTGCAAATACCCACCCAAATCCACACAAACACAACCCAATTACCTCTTTCTTCTTGTGCTCGTTTTCACCTGGCACACTGTCCATGGCCTCATCAGGACCTTGGCCCTTGTACACCCAGAGCTCAGATTTCTCCACTATTGACCTCAGCTGGTCCAAATCTTGTTTGATCTGCTTGTAGTTGTCAACATCTTGGCTGGTAACGAGCAGTTGAACCTTACAGGGAGGCAAAGCCGTGAGTTGCACAAAAAGGGCTAGGTTCAGCTGCCATTAATACACTCAGATGAGGAATAACTCTCTCCAGACACACAGGTACCTGCTTGAAAGCCTGGAGGACCTCTTGTCTCTGGCTGAAGTGCCTGAAGAGCAGCTGCAGTGCACCAGACACCAGGGGAGGGTAATCGTGCATCGTTAAATGCAGCAGGACCCGCAGGAAGGTCCTGCCCCCGTGATCATCCAAGTCCAGAGGGGTGTTCTCCTCACTGCAAACACAGCAGGAGTTAACCACATTACACTGAGGGTCCCAGAAGGTTCTAAATTCTCTCAGCAGTGGCAGAAAAGCTTTTTTTCTTACTTTTAAATAAGGGGGGGAATTGTACTGAGATTTTATTGCAGCATTGAGCTGAGATGCACTAATCCTCCACCTTGGCTTTCACCCACAGCACAGAGCCCTTCCCTGATGATCCCTCTGGCTCAAGAACCCCTGTTCCTTATCTCTGGATCCAAATGGACCCTACTCTGAGCAGTATCAAGGCCATTTTAGGAAAATGAAGGTGTTTTCCCAGTCCCCACTCCTAGGGAGCCCTCCAGCCTGGGGGCTTCCCCTCGACTGGCACCTGTGAAGAGATACTTTCCTTCCACCAAAGATCCCCTCAGCTTGTTCTTCAATGTGTTCAAAGTCCAGGGCTCCTGAAAAAATAAAGAGAACAAATACATGAGGTCAGAGTGGCAGCAAAGATGTTTTTCCAGCTTAAAAACATTTCAAATGGCAAGTGGGACTTGAAGCAATCATCCTATCAGCCCCTTGAAGATTCCAGAGTCTTCCCCAAGCCACACAACCTCATTATTCCTTGCCAAATAACCCACCTGGTACATTAGCTGGCATTTCCTGACTACTGCTTCCAGTGGGGGATTCAGACATCTGGGCATTGCTTTCATCAAACTCATGTTTAAATATACAGAGCAGGCAGGAGATCCTGTAGTCCAACCGCACGTTCAGAATAAACTGATGACACACAAGTAGGAGAAACGTTAAAATAATCTGTTAATTTCCACCACATCTACAATTCACACAAAGACACCAACTGAGCAGAAATGTGGATTTAACCTGGCAGAGTTACAAAGGGTGGAGAGGCCCTGGCACAGGTGCCCAGAGCAGCTCTGGCTGCCCCTGGATCCCTGAAGTGTCCAAGGCCAGGCTGGACAGAGCTTGGAGCACCCTGGAAGGTGTCCCTGCCCATGGCAGGGAGTGGAACTGGATGGGCTTCAAGGTCCCTTCCAACACAAACCATTCTGGGATCCCATCTTGCCATGCTATGTAAATATCACCTTCAAAACCCCCAGGACTCAGTAATATTTTCCAGAGATTTCAATGAGCATGATACACACACATAATAAATACTGATGAGTAAAACATTTTGGCAGGGTTTTGGTGCCTCATTCCTGCGTGATGCTGGCACCTCACCCCATTTCCCAGGAAAGGAAAGCAGCACTTCCATCTCCATCCTGAACACGTGCTGCTGCTCTCCCGGGGTGCTGGGACACAGGAGCAGGACAGGAGCTGCCAGGAGCCAGGCTGTGCCATACAAGTCACCAATCCAGCTGGGCTGGACCAGCTGGTGCCACAGAAACCCCCAGCCTAGCAGAGACCACCTTCTCCACAGTCTTCCTCTTGAGGAAGGAGCCACAAAGCCAAGAACACTCAGAGTTCTTGCAGCTTTAGGGGAAAATGCTCAATGCCAGCTTGCATGGCCCTGGTAGCAGGGAACAGTGGCACACTGAAACACCCCCTGCACATGGCAGGCCACGAGAGAAGCTCTGCCTTGAGCTGAAATTAGCAGTGGTGCAAGGAGGGAATGGAGCCTCCCCTGTGCTGCTGAGGGAAGGGCAGAGCCTCCCACGGGGCACAGGAGGGAACAGCAGGGCTCTCCTGCTGCTCTGCTGCCTTCACCCACCAGGCTCCGGCAGCACGCTGACCCCAGGCCTGCCTGATGGAACTACTGAGCACAAAAAGCACTCCCACACCCAGAGAGGGAAGATGCATCTCAGCTCAGTAATTCTGAGTCAATAACGAGGAAATATGTGTGCATCCCGAAGATATTGGGGTGAGCAAGTGGGAAAGGCAGAGATGGGAGAGAGAGAGGCTGGCTGTGCATGCTGAAAATACATGGCAGGCTGAGGGCTCTGCCAAGAGGAGTCTCCAGATCTCCCCATTCCTCAGGGCACTTCTGATGGCCCTGCAGACTCAGAGATTGGGAAGACAGCAGGGCGGAAAATAACAGCTCTGCCTCAAGTCAGATACTCACAAATCACTGCTAAATACACAGATGTCTAATGCAAACTCTTTTCTAATAAATTCTTTCAATAATGGCCAAAGTTGGGATCCCCGTGCCTGACAAGGTCACCCCTGCAATACTTTCCCAGTCTCAGAGCCAGAAGTACATTAAGAGGCACAGGACACAATTAATGCTGGAGGACAGCATGGAGCTGCACCATGTGGTACCTGGAGTATCTCGATGATCTTGAGCTTGGTGTCCATGACCAGGATGTCCTCCTTCTCTGGCTCACTCTGCTTGACATTGCCCTCGGGGGCAGCTGCCAGGGGAGTCATGGGCAGGAAGCCCCCTCCCCTGAGCACCACCTGGGTCATCAGCTCCCCCACGCCGTGGATGGACCTCATCACATTGCTCCCTTCAGAGGGGAAACACAGGGGTTAGGTGCTGCCATGGGGCACTGACAGGGCAAGGACCAGCCACAGCCTGCAATGGCAAACTGTCCCAGCATGGCACATCCACACCCTGGGGAGCGGGGAAGCCAACTGCAGTGCTTGGAGAAGCCCCCTGCCCTCTCCCATCACAGGCAATATTCAGCTTTACAACCAAGCCGCGGACAGAGAGGATTTCCAAGCACAGCATCACTGGCCAGGGAGGGAGGGGATTGTCCTGCTCCCCTCTGCACTGGGGCAGCCTCACCTCCAGTCCTGGAGGCAGTTTGGGGGCCAAAACGTAAGATCCAAATATGTTAGAGAGCACCCAAAGGAGGCTACAAAGATGGGGAAGGGACTAGAGAAGTGATACGAGGAGCAGTGAGATCTCTTGGCCTGTTCAGATGGGGCAGAGCAGACTGAGGTCAGACCTCACTGGGTCCCCTCCCGAGGGGCAGCTCCCAGCTCTGCCCCCTGGGTCTGGGACAGCTCCCAGGGAATGGCTGGAGCTGGGCCAGGGCAGATCAGGCTGGATTTTGGGAAAGGTTCATCCCCAGAGGGTGCTGGCACTGCCCAGGGAATGGGCACAGCCCCAGAGCTCCAGGAGCCTTTGGACAGCACTGCCAAGGATGCCCAGGGTGGAATTGTTGGGGTGTCTGCAGCACCAGGAGCTGGGCTGGATGATCCCTTTGGGTCCCTTCCAGCTCAGGATGCTGTGTGACTTCATTGTTCCACCCCACAGTGACATTTGGAGATGAACTAGAGCCACCCAAGAACTTTCTGTCCTACGCTTTCCAGCCTTACCTTTACTTTCCTCGCCTTTTGCCATCTTGGTAATAGGGAAGATGGTAGTGATGTGCACACAGTCTAATATAGCAAGGAGGATTTTGGTTAGTCTGAGGAGGTCACAGAAGTTGTAGAAACCAAAATATATCAGATTTCTGGCTAAGTTAACAACCTACCAAAATAACAATAAAAAGCCTGATTAATACTAAACATTTTGCTATCACAGTCAAGTTGTCTTAACACAGTGAAAAGATCAAGAACCTGGCTGAGGGTCACATTTTATCACAATATCTGGGAATTCTGCAGGACTGTCTAGCTCCACATCACAGCAGAAAGTTTTCTATTTGCCTACAAACACTGCAATGCTTGCAGTTCATGTCTGTATCTGCAACTGCTATTATATAGCTACAAAATCGGACTGCATTTATCTCATTACAAAATGGGGCAAGACTAGAGGGAAGGTACAGATAATTTTTATCATTGTCTTACAAAAAAATATATCACACCCGTAAAGCTGAGCTTTGTAACTCCCAAGCTATAAAGTTCCCACACAAGTCCACCCCATAAAGACCCACACAAAAATTTCACATACATGGCAAATATTTAATGCAACCCCATTATCAGAAGTGTATGACATCAACTGCATTTTTTTCAGGATATCACAGCTTTTCTTAAATTAATAGTTATTAATTATTATATATTGCATAGATTTGCAACATTTTATCTGCACAGGCTATTTTAACAGGTCAGTAAGGCACAGGACACTTTTCTCTTGGTGAGCATCACTATAAGCTCTGGAGACTCTCCGTGTGTACAAACAGGGTTTCATTTTTGAGATATTTATTCCAGTAAAGCCTGGCTTTGCAATAACACTGAGAGCCCAGAGCGTAAACAAGGCTGCTGCAAACCTCAGACATAAACTGATGTGCATTAATTGTATTTCAAGAACCATCATTGCAAACTCACAAATTTCAGTGGGGTTATTTGCATGAAGAGAAAGGAGCCAACTGAGGCTCAGGATTCACTAATTACACTCATTAATTACTTGCCCAACTACATGGTACTGAAAAAATAACCAACATTCCACAAAAAAAAAAAAAAAGAATAGGATAAAATCAGAACTGGATAACTACCTCAAAAGTGAGCTTATTTTTCTCTTTATCAGAGAAAGGGAACCTCTGACACACCACATCTCTTAAATATTCCTCTACAAATTCCATTGTTTGTGCAAATCTCTCCTTAATTTCATCTTTGGAAGTTCCACTGCTATCATAGCTGAAGAGGGGAAAAAAAAGAACAAAACAAAAAAGAAAACAAAACAAAACTTAGCATGCAAATACACAGGGCTCTTTTTCCCCCAGTACATTTTTTCATTGATTTGTCAAAATCTAAGAAAAGCTAAAGGCTGGTAAATAATTTATCCAAACGAGGGAGTCAGGACACTGACACCAGAATTTCCTGGCTTTTGTTGGTTTATCCCATATGCTCATTAGGTACTATTTTAAAACCTCTGAGGAAAACAAAAAAAAGATAATTTTGTCCCAAAAAACACAAAAAGCAACCTCATTATTTGAGTGGAAACAATGACAAGTGATGTGCAGCACTGAGGAGAACGGGTGGCCAAGAGAGGCTGAGTGGGGATGGTATTTTTCCTCCAAATAAAACCAATATATATGCAAAGCAGATATTAATTTTTAATATAAATTCTAGGGGTTTTTCTCAATATGTGCAGAGTGACTTTGAGAAGGACAACCCCACCACCTCCCACAAAATACTTTTGCTTCCTGTTTGATCACTTATCACTGGTGAGCTCCTGCCAGAGCTAAAACCATTTGGTTTTATATTTTGGCCTTGAAATTTGATTTATTATCTACTCAGCAGAGAAAACCAGGCTGGCAAGGAGGGAAATACAAGAAACCCTGAACACCAGTAATAATACTGACAAAACTTAAATTCCTAAGATGTAACTTCAATTTTTGGTGTTCATTTTCTCCAACTGAAAAAAAAATTAGCTCTGAACAGCTGAGTACTATAAATTTGGAATTGTTAATTACAAGTGGTCAAGAAACCACGTGCCTGCTCCAGCTGTGGCTTTGTGTAGGTTTTGAGCACTGTACCAAAGGATTTTCCACTGGAAGCTCAGGAATGTGTCCTTGTTTGAGCATCTTCCCCCTGTTTCTGCTGGTGGTGGTGAGCTCCCATAAGGACAATCTGCCCTGAGGGGAGCACACTCAGAGGAAATGGCCCCAAATTGGGGAGGTTTAGAGAGATTTCAGTGAAAATGTCCTGACTGGAACAGTGCTCAAGCCCTGGAACAGGGGCCCAGGGCAGTGGTGGAAGCACCATCCCTGAAGTGTCCCAAAGGTGTGTGGATGTGGCACTTGGGGACACAGCTCAGGGCTCAGTGTTGGACTTGAGCTTGAAGGGCTTTCCCAAGCGAAACAATTCTGTGGTTCTCCAACCAAACGAGGCAGAAGAAGAGACAAACCCACCCTGCTCTGCCCAGGTGCAGGTCACTCCATGGGCACATCGCCCAACACGCTGGGAGCTTATTTCATTCTCAGCAACACCTTACAGTGTGTTTGATTTATTTACAAACAGCAACTCTATAAGCAACACATGACTTCAGGCCTGGTGCTGCCTTTAAACCCCACAGCTGTTGCATATGGGTAAAACCCTGCAAACTCATGGCTCAGGCCTGGTGCTTGGGCTAAATACAGTTGATAGCTGGGCTGGCAAGGATCTGTGAGAATCAGCCTGCACTTGTCATCAATCCTGTCCAGGATCAATCCTGCAGTCATCCCTGTCCCATGGGAACCAACCTGCACCTGGGAGAGGAGGGACTGGTACCTGTGGGAAGCATCTTCTACCCAGGAGACAAGAACACAAACGTGTTTAGAGAACAAAGTCTTTGGCAAGCTCTAGCAACTACTAACCAATGAATACCAACCAACTAGAATTAAGCAGAACACTTTCAGCAAACCACACAAACACGAGCAGGGAAGAAGAAAGCTGGGTTTTGCAAAGGCCCCGTGCCCACGCCAGCCTGCCCCGAGCAGCAGCAGCCCCGCACTCACTCGTCAATGGCGATCTCGGAGGGGATCTCGGACCAGAGGCGGGCGTACTTGACGGGGGTCACCTGCTCCTGGGGGTCCCTGTCCACGTGCATGTGCAGCATCAGGCGGCAGAAGGAGGCGCGCAGGTCGTAGGGCAGGTTCTCGTCGGCCATGCAGCGCAGGATCAGGTCCACGTCCAGCTGCCCCGAGATCTCGTTGATGGCCAGGTACTGCCGGTCCAGGCACATGCGGGCAAAGAGGTTCAGCTGGTACCTGCAGGGGCAAAGGGCAAAGGAAATCAGATGTGTTAATTTATATGGGCTGGAGGATTATGGTTTAATTTCTGTGTAAAGGGTGTATATATATATAAAAACATACACTTAACACGAAGTAGGTGTATATATACATATATATATATATATACACACACATACACACACTCTATACAAACATATATATACAATCTACTTTAACCATTAGAAACAAAGCATATAAAAATATACAAAAATAAGCCTATAAAAATATACAAAAATAAGCCTATATAAATATACAATAATAAGCCTATATAAATATACAAAAACAAGCATATATAAATATACAAAAACAAGCCTATATAAATATACAAAAACAAGCATATATAAATATATATAAAGTATACTTTATATCCACAAAAAAAATATATATAATATATATAAAGCAAAGAGGTTCAGCTGGTATCTTCAAGAGAAAAAGGAAAAAAAT